TTACTGGCCCCCATCCTCCCAGGGGCCGGTGGTTTCCTCCGGCGCTGCCAGAGCAGGAGGCTGTGCCGCGGCACCGCGGGGCAGGGATCTTGCTCAGCCTTTGTGATCCTGGTCCCAGGCCTTGACGTGGGAGCATTGTTCGTGTAGCTGGGGAGCCAGGAGAGGCTCACCCACCCTTCCTTTCTCCTGAGCACAGCCTGTAACTGTATTGCCTTCCCCTGCGAGGAGGGTTTTGATGTGCACAAGTAAATATTTTCAAATACTGGATCCCACAGCTTTGTCCCTCTGGCTTCATTTCAGCCTGAAGTAGCACTGTTAACTCCAGTGTTTTTTCTCTCCCCCACTCCCCTTTCAGGCGCAGCGGCTGCTGCCCGAGACCACAGAAATCCTTCTTTGAGACGCTCATCAGGAGCCTGATCATCCTGTGCGTGGCGATAGCTGTGGTCTTGTCGTCCATCTCCGTCTGCGATGGGCGCTGGCTCTTTGCGAAGGGACAGCTCTTTGGACTGTGGCACTTCTGCACCGTTGGCAACGACAGCATCCTGAAGTGTGTCACCGACCTCAGCCTGGCCCAGGTGGAGGGCCTGAGCGTGGGGGTGATCCCTATAAGAAGCATGGTGTCCTTTGCTGTTGTGGTTGCTATATTTGGCCTGGAGCTGATGATGGTGTCCCAAGTCTGCGATGATGCCAATGCGAGGCGGAAATGGGCCATGGGCTCAGTTCTCATCCTCATCTCGTTTTTGCTGTCGGCCACTGGGGTTCTGAGCTTCTCCGTCCTTGTGAAGGATCACCTCAGCTTCACAGGTTTCACGCTGACATACTGGTGTGAGTTCGTTGCTGCCTTTCTCTTCTTCCTTAACGGGATCAGCGGACTTCACATCAACAGCCTCACACACCCCAGGAACAGGCTAGGCAAAATCTAGGCACAAAGGATTTACCTCTGCCTTTGTGTAATCAGCTTTGCCAATTAGACTGGAAAAAAGGGAGTCTAATGAAGTTTGAAAAGGACACCCTCTCTTAATTTGTGTGCAAGGAGGGGAAGCATGAGTCAGTCTTGATGCCTGTAGAAGACATACCCACCCACTGGTCAGCATGGAGGGCTGTGCAACACCAGCAAAGCAGAGACTGAGACTGGTTGCCACTGCAATGTGGTTTTCTGGAGGAGTGGAATAAAGCAGAGGGCATCCTGTTAAACGTGCAGAGGTGTGGAAGACACTGATCTATCACACATGTCCTGTTCTGAGACTTACACAACACCTGTACTGCAGTGGGTTTGGTGTTGCTGTGCTTTTCCCCATAATCTGGAGCCTGTGAAGAGTGTGACACAACTTTGGTGTCTCATGGCTGTGTTCTGTCTCAGGGACAGATGATCTGTGCCTGGCCATGCTCACTGGTGTGGAGTATTGAAAATCTTCACTGGATCTCACTCCTCTCTTTTTCTTTTAAAAGAGAATGCTTGTAGATCTTGATCTGGTCACATGTTTTGTCTCCTGTTGGCACATTCCCTGTAGCTGTCTTTTCCTCAGTCAGTTTTTTGGGACTCTTCAGACCAAGGTGCTGACTTGGGGTCAAGGGCAGGTGTTGGGTGGTGGTGTACCGGGAAGAGCTGTGATGCTTTCCTCAGGCAGTAGTGCACGTTCCTGTGCTTGTGGCCTCTCCCCTCTTCACCATTCTTCTGCCACACCTGAAGGACATGTGCTGATTTGTCACTCAAACTGGCTCCCTCAAAGCCCTTGTAAAGTTTGCTGTAACAGGGCATTGCTTTTAGTTTCTTTTTTGTAGTCTCTTTGGGGCAAGAAGGATAAACTCTGCAGGGGCTTCATGTGGTGGTGTGGCTGAGCAGACCATGCTGAGACAACCACACCTTCTGGGGTGTTTTGTTTGTCAGGGTTTCTACTGGGACAGTGGGAAATCTTCTCCCGTGGCTGAGAGTCTCCTGTAGCATTTCTTCTGGGAGGAGAAAGGTCTAGGTCCTCTTGACCAGGCCAAGTCCTTTTCTTTCCCTGACTAGCAGCGAGCCAGGGAGGAGAAGCAGCCCGTGATTGCCTAAGGAGGGGCTGACGGGTGCAGCTCTAATCTGTCACACCTGGTGGAAATACAGAGACTTGGCCAAAATTGCATTAAGGCTAGTCTTCCTCCTGCCAACGCCTGAGTCAAGATCTCTGAAATTACTACACCTTTGAAGTCCCCCGTGGTGTCATATGTGAAAGGAGAAAAGACCTCAGAGTCTCGTTGCCCTACATATGTCCTCCCTGTCCAACACAGCACTCAGTTGCCCACAGATAAAAATGTCTTCAGAGTATTTCAGGATTTCTGGTTTACTGTTGTTTTGTATCCACTGGTAAAGCTACTTATATTTTTGTTTTACAACAAATGTTTCTTCGTGTTTCATCGCTGTAGCTTGGCTGATAGCTGTTGGGCAAGGTTTTAATTTCCTGTGCAACAAGTTTGACACAGTTTTATACCTGAAACAAAAGCATCATAGCGCAGAGGCCAAGAAGGCTGTGTAGGCGAGCCATGAGTAAACAGCTTTGTCTGTGAAAGCTAAGAATCTTAAGCTGTGCCTAAGGTGAATCTGCCACGCTTGATGAATGTGCTCCTGTGGACTCTGCCTTCATGAGGACAGTCTCCATTCCTTGTCAGATTTCTATACCTTCTTAAGACATCACTCCTAAGCCTGTTTTGTGATGCAGTTTCAGACCAGGCTTGCTCTGAATGGTGCCAGTTGCACTTTTGCACGCAAATCTGCTTGTCTTTCTGCCAAGACAATGCAGAGAGCTGTGCTACCCAGCTAGTTCAAGCCCTTGTAATGTTTGGGGCTTTGCCAGGATTTCTTGACCCACTCTCCAGGACAAGAACTTGTGCCCTTAACCTGCCTCTGGAAAACTGCACTGTGACTGTTTGCAAAGGTGCTTTTAATTTGCTGAACTGCACTGTTGAAGTCATGCTGGTGGGCTGAAATTGCAGATGGTTGTGTGAACTAGTGCTGTTGGCTTTAGGAGAGCCATTTAGGCCAGAGCAACCCTGCAAGGTCTGGTCTCAAACTGCTGCACTTTGATGTCACCAGATGTTAGAGTACCTTAACTAACCAATGATTCATTTGCGGTGCCTAGGGATGATATGCCAGGAAGAACAGTCCCCCTGCATGAAGTTAAGGGTGTCTGTGAGTTGTCTAGAAACATGGATGTAACTTCAGAGTGACAATTTGGTGACATCCAGAACTGGAAATCAATTCTGCATGTACACTTCCTCATGCTAGTGGGAGGCTGTGCCCCCATCCCTGTCCCTGGAAGGCAGCCACAGTCAGACTGAGTTCCAGGCTGGTGCCTCCCGCTCGGGTTAGAGGGAGGCAGTGGACAATTGGCCATTGAGTTCACCCTAGACGTGGTGCAATTGTGAATGATTTTAGGATGCCCCTTCAGCTGAAGAAGAGGCCTTTTGTTGGGGGTAGGGAATCCTCTAGGGAAAATGGAGTAACTTTTTTTTTCCGACTGGTTTTGTATAGTACTGCTTGACTTAATCATGCTGGGAGAAGATGCACTTTGACAGCTTAATATCACAAAATAGGATTGATTGTCTCAGAGACATACTTATATACAGCAACCTGTGCAGCAGTGGGTCACTGTTCATTTTCTGAAGCCTGTGAAAGTGTCAAGCAATATTTCTCAAGTTTGTTAAATAAATTTCTTTGAAATAAGAACTGTAATTCTCTCTTTTTATATTCAGATATTGGGGTGCAGATTTAAGGGGATGAGCAGGGTTTTACATAATCTCCAGGCACCATTCTGTGTGTTTACCCAGCTAGACTGATGAAGAAATGACTGCTTGGCATTTTGCCAAGCTCTGACCAAGAGAACTGAGGTCATTTGCACGCTCCCCTCTCCTTTTCCCTCCAGTGTGTATGCACCAACCCAAGCAGCCAGCACTGCTTCCTTGTCTTGCAAAACAAGAGGGGCAGTCAGCTGTGCTGCTTCGTGGGAATGGAGATAACCTTGTAGGCTCTTAATGATTTCCTGCTGTTGCATATGCTCTGTTTACCAGCTAAAGAGCTCTTTCCTGTGTTCTTCACCTTCTTTTTCCCACACTGTACTCCGTGTCTGAAGCATCCTTGCTCTTTTCCCCAGCTCTGATTATCCTGCAGAAGTGGTGTCTGAGTACGAATGTATTTATACATTTTTTCCTGAACTCACTGTACTAATAGGTTTAGTTAAATGTCAGGAAAACAGATTCCCAGCTACACCACTGAATTAGTTTATGCAATTTCAAGTTAATTAGCACCTGGTGTGCTTGTTCTGAGAGGTCATTGGCCTGTCTCAGATGGTTTAACATCTCTTAAAAGCAGAGTAATGAACATTACTCCTTGTTAATGAGCTGTTTAGACTTAGTTTCTAACTTTAATTGGAAACTTGTGCAGAAGTCATTGCTTGTGGATAAGAATAAGGAAATGATGGTACAAAACATGCTAGCTCAGGAGGTATCCTGCCTGGACTGTATTTTCAAAAAGCACAGAATGGTTAAGGTTGGGAGGGACCACTGGAGGTCATTTCATCAAACCTCCCTGCTCAAGCAGGGTCTTCTAGAGCATGTTACCTTAAGTCTACAGTACCTTCATCAGCTGTGCTTGGAGGGACACCTGGAATAGGGTTTAGCCTTGCTTGCTTTTGCAAGTCAGAGGAAGGTGATTACAGGAAGACGACTGTCCTCTCTCCTGCTGGGGCCTATGGTAACTAGATAATGGTTCAACCAGTATGGCTCAACCTTCCAGGTCAGCTTGCAACATGCAAGAAGGGCCTAGTTTCTGGGTGAAAACGAGGTATGCCCCAGGCAGTGTCTTTGAAGTGTTGTTGCCTGAATTCCTGGGACCTCTCACTATCAAGTGGGTCCAATCCCACTGAACTGGCACCACTCCTTCTGAAACAGTCCCCTCTACTCAGGCATTGCACAATGTAATTATTCACAGTGCAACTACTGTTTTTTGCTTCTGACAGTGTTGTTGGGAACTTCCTTGTTTCTGTGTTGGACAGAAAAACCATTAAGCACTTCCTCTTAAATCCATTAGCTCTTAGATTGCTGATGCTTAGGCTGTGAGAGCTGCTGCCTGCCCCACTGGCTTGCAGAGGGACACCTGGCTCCTGGGGGAAGCTGGAGTGAATAGCCAGAGGCTGTCACCAGTGTCCCTGAACAATGACAACTAGTTGAGTGAAAGGTGGTACTCAGGCCCTGTTAAATGGTAGCAACCATCTGCTTTACATTGAATACCCAGGAGCAAGTGTAATGAAAGAGAAGTTGGTAGACTGAATACAGAGTTTTTGTTCAGCCTTCATGCCTTCATCTCCTGCTTTGCATTGCTCGCTGAGATTTTCTTTCCTGTTCATTTGCTCATAAACATGTAGGTGTTCCCAGAGCTAAATAGCTCTTTTCTTTGGTATCCTTCAGCACAGTTAAACAAGCAAGATCTCCAGCAGGGCAGGGAGTTTTTGAATTGCCTGCACAGGCGATGAGGGAGGTGAGAACCCATTCCACTGTGGTGGTATTTGGCAGCAGCTTCTTATACCCAGATGAAACCAGGACAAGGTCACAGCATCATAACCCCTGGGGCTGCCTGCTTCTGGCATCTTCCCGAGTGGAATTGCTCTTCCCAAGCAGCTGAGGACTCCAAACACCAGCTGACATCCAAGGGTTTTTATGGAATCATAGCTCTTCATCCAAACCATGCCTGTGCTCTGTGACTGACGCAAATATATACTACAAAAGCTGGGAATAATTCCTTTGGTTTTGGTTATTTCAGGCAAGACAAGTAAAACCAAAATGGCCTGATAAAACAATAACTTATGATTGAAACTTTTTTTTTAAGATATAAAAATCTGCAGTATTTTATTCTGGGGCATGTGGTTTGCCCCTGTTTCACCAGGGCTCCTGTATC